ATATTAACAATAAAGCATGTGCTTATTTTGAAGATTCATGCGGTTGCACGTCTGCCAAATTTTCTTTGGACATTTGCTGAAAAAATATGGTAATTCCATGAGGCCGTGCTGTGGAATGAACTAGTTAGTATGGCAGAATTTTCAGGGAGTCACACGGATTCCTGCATATGTCAAATCAGGGAGTCCAGCAATAAATCAGGGAGTATTTGACTCCGGACTCCCGTTAATTTCGCACCCTGTATATATATATATATATATATATAGTTTTACACTCAAGGTTCCACGCTCGCACCTCACAACAATGTACGACGTAACCGTGCTAGTGACCAAGTGCTAGTTGAGTCCGATTTTACACTGCTCTATCTCTCTCCCTCTATGTCTTTCTCTCCCGTCCTCTCTCTCTCTCCCTCCCTCCCCCTCCCTCTCTACAGAACCATGGCACTATACTTGGTGTGTACACCCTCTGCCGTATGTGCACATAACCAGGCATGCAGGCACTTCACACACAACAATGGTCGTATGTACCTCGCTGTGTTATAGCCACATGTAAGCCAGGGGTTGATGCATCATTCTGGTTTTGCCCAAATTGTGAGGTGGTCGAACCACCATGTGAGCGTGTTTCTAACTAATTATGCGGTTATTCGTACATCTGCTGTAAAGTTCCCCCAGTGATTGTAAGTGTCTGTAACTAGATTGATGACTTGTGTGAATTGTGTGGTCATTCGGTACAATATAACGGTTTATGTCGGAAGAGCTAGCATACATAATGATAATATATAAAAGAATATATAATATATGCAGTGCACTCTAAACATACAATAGACTATGTTTTCTCGACTGTAAGCCATTTAGGTGCAGTGGAGGGGGGGAGCAGACTTGCGTGAGGTGAAGGGGAGATATTGTGAAAACAACCTGGTTTGCTTGATTATCTTTCTATAAAAAATATGGGTCATTTGAAATGACAGAAGGATTTCGTATTGAGGCAAGGAAACTTTTTCACAATTCTTCAAAGGATCCTGTTGCTAAGATGAGAAAAGATGGAGATCTTGGCAAGCTTCCATGTGCGTGTGACACACCTTGTTAGCTTTTTCACATCAGTAAATCCGTATCTAGTTGTGACTAGGATGACGTTTAACAGTCATGTGTTAGTCACATAACCTAGGTACAGTAATAAAGTACAAGTAATAGAGTCTACAGTATACAGTCTCTGAACTTCCCCAAATCTCACACAGAGAAATTATATCCCATAACATCTTATGCCGGTTATAGATAACCTACCTTTAATTCAGGTAAGTCATCTGAAAAGATCATTACAAAGAGCATAGACATCGATTACCTTCTGCTCTGCTGTAAAGAAAACTAGATGCAATTACCCGAATGCACGTAAAACAGCGATCAATCTATTGTTTGTTGCAGGATGAGTTGGCAGCTAAGCGTGAGTCGCTGAGTAAAGTGAAGACAAACTTTGGGCTTGTAGAGAATAAGTACAGTGAAGAAGCGCAGAGTGATGGCTACAGTAACACACACGAGACGCAGGCTGGCACAGGCAGGAGAGTGAAGCGTGAGCGACCTGCCACCAACACCTGCTCACTCTTTATACAGGTGTGATAATGAGTAATCCATAGTTAGTGACACCTGTAGTTATTGGCAAGCTTAGTTAGCGACACCTGTAGATAATAATAACTGTAGTGTTGACATTGATAGTTTTTTTTAGTGAAATTTATAATGGTGACATCTATAGATCTTTACATTGATATTGGTGACATCTATAGTCAATGACATTTATAGTGGTGACATCTATAGTTATTTACATGTATAGTGGTGACATCTATAGTTATTTACATGCATAGTGGTGACATCTATAGTTAATGACATTTTAATTGTGACATCTGTAGGTAGTCACATCTGTAGTTCATCTGGAATATCTTGTGGATCATTATCTATAGTGGTGACATCTATAGTTAATATTATCTATAGTTACCCACATCTATCACAAATCTCTTCTCATACTGGGACGTGGAGATGCTCGCTTGCTCGGCGCAGCTACCTGTGTGGACATTCACTTGTTTTTTCCCCGCGCAGACGGACACACTGTTCTGGGACTGGGTGGGTAAGCGCGAGAACCACGACAAGGAGCGAACGCGCGATGAGATCCTGTCGTTGATCGGCGGTCACGTGAAGGCTGTTAACCGTGTCTACGAGGAGACTCGCCTAGGCAGCTACACGGGCCTGCGGTTCGTCGTACAACGCACCAAGGTGAGGAAGGAAGGAAGGAGGTAGGGAGGGAGAGAGGGGCCTGGTAGGAAGGGTAAGGGACAGGTTAGGAAGGGAGAGGGGGTAGGAAGGAGGGATTGGAGAGAGGAGACGTACCTAGGCAGCTACACGGGCCTGCGGTTCGTCTGTACAATGCCACCTACAGGTTGAGGCGGAAGGAGGGGTAGAGAAGGGGGGTAGGAGAGGGGGTATGGCGACAGGAGGAAGAGAGGGACGGTAGGAGCGAGGTTGGGGGGGATATGAGGGCAGCGTACCGTAGGCCAGCGACACGAGCCGCGGTTTTCGTCGTACAACGCAACAAGGTGTAGAAGAAGAGAGGATATGATGGGAGGGGGAGGAAGGCGGGTAAGGACAGGAGAAGAGAGAGGGGGGTAGGAAGGAGGTAGTCAAGAGAGGAGACTCGCCTAGGCAGCTACACGGGCCTGCGGGTTTCATCGGTACAATACCAAGGTGAGGAAGAAGGGGGCTTAGGAAAAGGAGAGGTGGGTAGGCAAGGCGGGAGAAAGAGAGCAGAAAGAGTAGAGAGAGAGAGAGACGAGAGAGCGAGAGAGAAAGGAGAGAGTGAGACGAGAGAGATGAAGAGAGAGAGAACGGTGAGAGAGTGAGAGAGAGGGAGAGACGATGGCTTTAAGACGGGAGAGCGAGGGCGGTGATGATCCGTGAGAGGACGTTACTATGGGTAAAAGCTTCGCCCCTGTCTTGCTCATAGATCACGGTGGAAGGCGTCGGGTGTAGTGTGGTCCTAAGCTACCGGAGAGCCCTCGTAGGGCCAACTTGCTATCCAAACCCTACTGTTGCCGAAGGACAACATCAGAACGTAACAACTTCCTGAATCTCACTCGCTGGAGGATCCACTTAGCAACTTCTGTCTTGCCTACTGGTTCTCACCGTCAGGGACTTTCACAGATGGGGGGGTGGTTGGCCAATGGTGGCCGTACGCTCGCGGCCTAGAGCTGCGGCGACTCCGCTCCAGTCAGGATGTGAGTCTAACATAGTGCTGTCATTCTACAATACAAAGTGAAGCCTCTAGCCTTAGGGCCTCACTATGCACCTTCATCTGTTCTAGTGCTATGGGTAAGGGTCAAATGTGCGTCTCGACAATGCCAGTGGTGGGACCTTTCCACCATTGTAGATATAATATGGATCTCCTAGTAATCATCCGTGTGGCCGTGCGACATCTAAGCAGTGCTCACCAACAACTAGTGCTTGCAACAATGGGCGGTTGTAAATTTTGCTTGTGCACCAGTGCGAAACACGAGTCAAGCTCGGAGAGCTCGACTGGTCCTAGCTGACAATACCTAGGTGGCATGGTTGAGATTATCTTGTTCACGATGGTATGTCAGTCGACCCCCCCCCTCCTAGGCATTAACGCGGGTTGTCCATTGAGACACTAACCCTTGACCTTCTTGTCTCTTGCAAACTCCACGACAGGATGGAGTGCTCTCGCCTCTGGCCCTCAAGTTCAACCACTGCCACAAGTAGATTTCCGATGAGAATTTATAACGCTTTCTTATCACAGGTTTTTACAGCGGCAGGTTCTCGTACAGATCCTATGTACATAATGATTTGTACTAATAAAAGTTCCTAAAGATATTCAAAATCGACCATCTATTTTATGTAAAAATTTGATAAAAAGTGATACGAAATAGTGGCGCGAATTGTGTGCCCATTTACTTTCAAAGATACAGCTGGCGCTATTGGCTTGCCATGTGCTGCGCATTAACCGGGACTCCGCCCACTTGAAAAAATGTCACCAGGCCTTGTGCAAGTGGTATCTGATTGTACGAGGGGCGCGCGCAGATGCAGTTTTGGTAATCGTTGCCAGGATCGTCCGGGGATCTGCGAACGTTACAAAGAGTACACGGAGACGATCAAACGGTCGCCGACCGCACGTTCAAGAGCCTAACACGGGCATCGTGACGTTCGTCAGACTACAACAGCCCGCTGCCGGCGAAGGTCTCACAGTCTCACCGATCGGCACACGAATCGGGACGGCAACGTTGGCCTCGCCGGGTGCGTGATCTCGTTCTGGTTGTCGGTATTGCCCTCAGGAGGGAGAGAGGATGGGAGAGAGAAGACGAGACGAGCGAGAGAGAAGGGGGCGGTGGGAAGATTGCGGAAGGTTGCGTAGGGAGGAAAAGAAGAGACTGAGACAGAGAGGATAGAGGAGGAGAGGAAAGAAAGACAATCTGGGTCGGAGAAGAGAGAGCTGAGAGAGAGAACGGAGAGGAGAGAGAGAGAGAGAGGAGGAATGAGAGAGAGAGACGAGAGGAGAGCAGAGACTGAGAGAGAGGAAGGGCATGCGCAGGGTGCGTGCGGAGAGAGAGAGCAGAGATCGAGACGAGAGAGAGCACGTGCGGGAGAGAGAGCGAAAGAAAGAGAGAGAGAGAGAGAGAGAGAGAGAGAGTTTTGTCTCTGCCGTCTTTTATCTCACATGAGTATTAACGTTACAGCACGACTACCCACTGCACTGCCGTCCTGGTGGACCAGAAGGCAACTACCTAATGTACGCTAGCGCCACCGGTGGCGACCGCTACAACAATGACAAGTTCTCGGAGTGTAGCGTCGGCAATGTGTCTCAAGTGCTGGACGCGGTACTGAATGAGAAAAACGGCAAGAACAATTGTTTCTCCTGTAAGTGTATCACATACATAACCCACGGTGCATGTGGCGGCGTCTTCATTCATTTCTTTCGTTCTTCTGCAATTATCAACTGTGACTTCTTTACGTATTGTATTCAATGCAATTTACGTATTGTTACACACATAGAAAGTAAGTAAGTAAGTAAGAATCTGTTGCATGTGAATAATATTCTTTTGTAGATGACACCGGGTGCGCAGATGATGGTGGATAATCGTGTTTGTCGTTCACTTGTTTTGCGCAGCGGACGAGGGTGCATTCTGCGGTAACAATCTGGTGGAGGAAGGGGAAGAGTGTGACTGTGGCTACGAGGACGAGTGTAGGGAGGACTGTTGCTACCCTCGCACCACCCACGGCAAGGTGCAGGAGGGAACGCCCTGCACGCTGAAAGCTCACGCCCGCTGCAGGTATGCTAGCAAGCTGTAGCGGCTAGGGGTGTAACGATTGACTGCGATTCAACTGTATCGCGGCGGTACATCCCATTCGGTTCGGTTTTCGTTTTTTTTTTCCGTTTCGGTTCTCGGTTCGGTTCCGGGAAATACGTTCAACCCACTCTAGTTATTGTCTTTTGGCCGATGAATAACACAATAAATGTATAATATTATGATAGGTATTATTATTATTATTCAAAATGGAGGGAAAATTTCTCCATCTTCTCAGCATTTTAAATTTTTTACTACTGAAAATAACCGAACCGAAGAGCAAAAACCGAAAACCGAACCGAACCGAACCGAACCAAAACAAAATGTATCGTTACACCTCTAGTAGCGGCCACCCCACTGCGCCAACCCACTACCACCCACACCTCTCACTATAACTGCACCACCACACATACTCCAAGCACCGCCGCTGCTGCCGCTTTTCTCGCCGGTGCTAACACCACCACTACCGCAATGGCCAACCAATAACCACAGAACATGTACCATCGCTATTCACTAACGACCACTCCACCATACCCCACCAACACTTCTCACTATAACCTAACAAGATGTGCATATATCATATTGTGTAATTGCGTGTATTCTTCGCAACCATACATCAGCCATACTTCTCACTGACACTGTATCCCCCCACCAGCTATGATCTTGCACTGTAATCTGACTGTAATATAACACGTGTCTTCTTACAGCCCGAGTCAGGGCCCATGCTGCGGACACAACTGCGAGTACTTGCCGGAGAGCCGTGGATACGAGTGCCAGAGGGCGTCAGAGTGTCACGACGTCTCATTCTGCAAATATCCTTTCTGTGCCAGAGTAGAGCAGTGCTAGACTCAGGTCGTGACCTGCGCTGGGTTCCGTTACCCGTGTTGTGGTTGTGACCTAGTTGATGGAGGTCATAACCTATGCTAGGGTCACGTCCTAGGCTGAGGTCATGACCTAAGGTTAATCATGCATCATCTAAATTCATGACATTGTCACTGCAAGCAGAGTTGTAGATTACAGTGCCGATTTGTGTTACGTCTACCAGGTTCATGTTCCTTAATCAAGGTTTACTGGATTGACAGCTCACTGTCCCACACCGGATCCCAAACAGAACCGAACTGCATGTAACAAGAACACACAAGTTTGTTGGGGCGGGGTAAGTGTTGGGGGGATGAGTAGCCCTAGGTGTTGGGTGCAGGGATAAGCATTGGGGGGGGAGCAAGTGTGGGGGAGAAGGCAAGATTTAAGGGGGGGCTAGGTGTTGGGCGAGGGGTTAGGTTTGGGAAAGTGTATGGGCTGACAGTAAGTGATGGCAGGAGGAGTAAATATTGGAGGAGCAATATATGTTGGGGGCAGAACTTGGGGGAGGGGTATAGGTTGGGGATAAGTATTGGTAGGAAGCGTGAGTGTTGGGAGAGGAGTTAGTGTTGGGGGATGGGAAGAGAGAGAGAGAGAGAGAGAGAGAGAGAGAGAGAGAGAGAGAGAGAGAGAGAGAGAGAGAGAGAGAGAGAGAGAGAATTAGAGGGGAGAGAGAGCGTACTATGAGTACAAGCTTCTGTTGCTCGTAGATCAACGAGTCGGAGGCGTGTGAGGGCAACAACTTGCTATCCAACCCGTACTGTGCGAACAACATCGACGTAACCAACTTCCTGAATCTCAACTCGCTGGAGGATCACTCGCACTTCTGTCTCGCCTACGTTCTCACGTACAGGGACTTCACAGGTGGCACGCTCGGCCTAGCCTGGGTCGCCTCCAGTCAGGGTGAGTCTAACAGTAGTGGTGTTATAACAATCGAAGTGAGCCTATAGCCCTAGCCTCACGATGCACCTTTATTATTCTAGTGCTTGGGGAGGGGTCAAATGCGTCTGAAATGCCGTGGTTGACCTTTCCACCATGTGTATATGATATGCCAGCTCTAGTCAATCATCGTTGCGATGCGATATTCTAAAAGCAGTGATCACCAACAAAGTGCCCCAACATTGTAAATTTTGCGTGCACGTGCGAAACAGACAAGTTAAAGCTCGGAGAGCTCGACTGTCCTAGTGACAATACCCTAGGGTGGCATGGTCGAGATTATCTCGCTCACATGGGTATGTCAGTCGACCCCCTCCTGGCTTTAACGGGTTGTCCATTGAGACACTGACCCTTGACCTCTTGTCTCGTTGCAAACTCCACGACAGGTGGCGCTCTCGCTCTGGCTCAATTCACCACTGCCACAAGTAGATTTCCGTCAGAATTTCTAACGCTTTCTTATCACAGGTTTTACAGCGGCCAGGTTACTCGTATCCTATGTAATAAGATTTATACTAATAAAAGTTCCAAAGATATTAAAAATCCGACCATTATTTTATTAAAAATTTTATAAAATAGTGATACGAAATAGTGTGCGGATTTGTGTGCCCATTTACTTTCAAATCATATGCGGCTATTGGATTGCCATTCGCTGGATTAACCCGGAGCTCTGCCCACTTGAAAAATAGTACCAGCCTTGTGGCAGTGGTATCCTGAGTTGTACGAACGGGGTGCTGCATGCAGTTTGGTCTCATTGCAGGATCGTCCGGGGGAATCTGCGAGACGTACAAGGAATACACTGAGACGATCAACGGCCGCCCGATCCGCACGTTCAAGAGCCTGAACACGGGCATCGTGACGTTCGTCAACTACAACAGCCCCGTGCCAGCGAAGGTCTCACAGCTCACCGTTGCACACGAGATCGGACACAACTTTGGCTCGCCGGTGCGTGTCTCGTGGTGTCGTATGCTCAGGAGGGGGAGAGAGGGATGGAGAGAGAGAGAGAGAGAAGAGCGAGAGAGAAAGACAATGGGGAGGAGAGAGAGAGAGAGAGAGAGAGAGAGAGAGAGAGAGAGAGAGAGAGAGAGAGAGAGAGAGAGAGAGAGAGAGAGAGAGAGAGAGAGAGAGAGAGAGAGAGAGAGAGAGAGAGAGAGAGAGAGAGAG